CTTCCATCTTCAAAGCCAGCACTGTGGCATCTCTCTGTGCCTATCTTTCATAGTCACCTCTTTCTTTGCCTTTGACTCTTCTTTCTCCCTATTCCATTTTCAGAACCCTCATGGTTACATTGGTATCACCCTGACCTAATTGAGGATAATCTCCTTATTTTAAGATCAGATAAAGACTAGCAACTATAATTCAATCTGCAGTATTAATTCCCCATTTCCATGTAACCTAACATATACACAGGTTCACACTCAGGGGGTGAGGGGGGCATTATGTTGCCTATAACAGGTAGTTTTACAAAATAGGGACTTTTGCCTGGATTTCAATTTAGTGCACTAGAAAGGATTCATTTCTAGCTGTTCCCTTTTTATGGCTACATCAATATACACTTCACCTTGCATAGTGTGTGGACCAGAGTCTTGAAGTTTAGTTTTAGAAGTTACTTCTCTCACTATATTTTCATGGCATGGGTCCAGAAATTCATGGAGTCTGAGCATATCCAGGAGACCTACTCTGCTAAGAATGAGGTAAACGCAGAGGATGGGTAAGAGCATGACGATGGAAAGTATAATAATGATTCAAAAGCAGTACTAGATCATCTCTGCTGAAAGAGGCCGAGAGGACACCCAGACTCTGTTACATTCAAGAAAGACCAGAACATGACTTCCAATAAGAATATACTTTGACCTCAAAATCTGGTAAAACGACCCATTCAAGCATATTAACAGGATATTGGAATAGAATAGTTTTTCAATTAGGAGCATGTGCTTTATATTTGTTGATGAAGGAGAACTACACTTCCATTATATCGATCCACTAAGATATGGAGAATTTATTTGCAAGTTCAGTTAGTGTTACTGTAAACAATATTCATATAAATTGTAAAAAAAAAATACCCCCTCAACTTGCACAGTTAATTAGTGGGTCTATTTCTCAATATAGAGATTTGGACAACTAGGTTTAAGGATTTTTGCAGTTTTTTTTTTTTTTTTTACAAAAAGAAATCATTTATAAATTGTAAGTGCAGAGTGTTTGTGTTTGGGATGGTGGTGAAACGGTATACAATTTATAAAAATCAGTGTAGTGGCAGTGTGGAAAATATATTGGATCACTGCATTAGGTTATTAAATAAACTTAGGCAAAGATGAATATATATTGGACATTAGGGCTAAGTGTAGAACTAGAGATTTGGATTCAAGGTATCTTTAGCAGATAAAAACCATGAAATTAAGGGAGGAGTTTAGAGTCCTTGATGTGTCTCTGGATTATGGTTTGCATAAAAGCTTGTTATTAACTAAGCCAGGGTCCACTAGAAAAATAGCAGATTTATAGGAGCAATGGGTGAAGGTTTTAATTTCCAATTGGACATGTTGGTTCTAAGGTAAATTTTGGTGTTCCCAAATGTGTAAGTTAAGTAGGTAGTTGAGTAGTGCATCATTAAGAGAAATAAGAGGGGCCTACTCTGGTGGCGCAGCGGTTGAGCGCTGGGTTGCGAAGCTGCCCTCAGCCTCTGCAACGCCGTTTAGATCCCTGGCCACAGGTGAGGGTCCCACATGGCACGCAGACCTCTCCTGCTGCTCCCCCCAGCAGTGTACTTCGTCAGTCTGGCTGTTCTGTTCCCCACTGTGGCTCTGGTGAATTCTCTCACCCTCCCCCGCTTCTGACTGTACCCAGTGCTTGTATAAATAAATAAATAAAACTTTAAAAAAAAAAAAAAGAGAAATAAGAGGAAAGAAAATAAGTTTATTCTAAACTCCATCCAGTGATAATTTGTAAACTCACACCTGCAATGAACGCTGAGGACACAATATGTCATTTTAATTATTATAACTAGCTGTGTAGGGATGATTTGATAATTAGCTCACAATGCCCAGTAGAAAAACTGTGACTTTATCCTACTGGGGAACCTTTGAAAGCATTAAGGGAATTTCAAATTTTTTTAAAGAATGGGGCTACAAATAAGAAGGAAAAAAAGCCATCTCCCTCTGTTTGGCATTCCCAAAGAAAACCAATGTACAAGTAATACTACTTCATTTCTGTACTTTTTACCTTATTTCAAGAAAACGAGCACATTTCCAGTTACCCAGAGTATTACAGAAACCGGATGAGAATCCAGAGGTTTTATAATTTTTATTATGGTACTTTGTAATTTATTTGCATGGTAAAATATCTAAGTAAGAAATTGAAATCCTAGATAGGATTTTTTTCTTTCTAAACTCAGCAACCAAAATCTGGACAGACAGAAGGAAATGTCTGTCTTAACATGTATTTTTCAAAGTTTTAAAATAATTAACTGAGTAAGAGAATGAAATCTAGAAAAATTGAATAGTGATAAGAAAAATTAAACATTCATAGTTTATATTATGATGTGAAGTTTTTATAATTAAAACAGAATTTCTGAAGTTCAAATCTAACTATTTCTAATTGTTTAGAATGCGAGATTTTTAATTTAAATTTATGGCCGAGTACATTCTTTAATAGTGGCAAAAACATAAGAGTAATGGCTAAAGTTACTCAAGATAACTTTAAAAGACTCCTAATATTATCTACCATATAACCCTTGAGAAAATTTCAGAAAGCTTACTTATTATTGGCTAAATATATACTATAGGAAATAAAACTATGAAGGGATAGTAATAACTGGTTATTTGAGGTTATAAAGAAAGTTGGAACAGGGCAAAAAATCTCTTAAGATTCTCAGTTTTCAGTTAATGTTTTCACCTGTTTCCATGTACTAGAGCTCCCTATGGGTATAAATTTCAAAATAAAAATTCTAAAACTCTTCTACAATTATTTTTAGTGAAGCTAGAATATTTAGGTCATGGACCTCCTTTAAGTTGAACATTGATTCTTAGAAAACAAGCCTTTATTCATATTTTTAAAGTAGACAAACCCAAATTTTCTAATATGTTCTCATAATACATATTTTTGTTCTATAAGTATGAAGAACTCCTTTTTGGAGCTCATTCAGAGACTATAAATGATGAAAAAAATCAATGTCTTCATGCAAACACTGAATGTTTTATTTACAACAGTGATAAAGCAAAATATGAAGATAAATGTAATAAGGAAATATTGCACTTATATAAAAATTCTAAAAACTTATTACTCTATTTGAATTCACACCTTAAACAATTATAGGTATTTCTGGGCTTTAAGAAAAGATCACATCTACTCTATATAATAAAATGTTTGCTCCCAATGATGACATCCAATATAATACATTAATTTCCCTGAAGGCTATTTCTGCACTGAACTGACAATTATGCACAAAACTTTAGAGATGATTATATCCTAATTTTATGTTGGAATTTACAGTGTCAAAACATCTAAAAAGGGCAATAGGATTTCATTGTTCTCTGTGTTTTCTCATTATTTACATGATGGAATGATTCTTTTATTTCTATCTTTAAATCAACTGCATAATTTTAAGTGAAAGGGACCATAACATATGTGCTGATATTCTTTTCAACTCTGATTTTGACTTATCCCTCTTGCCCGCTCCACTACTTATTTCATTTCTACCATTATTCCCATTCCATAAAATAGTGTTATAAACTTAGTCTCTATCATCCACATTTTTCTGTTAAAGAAAGATTTAAAACTTCATTGCTTGTTTTACAATAATGAGATATTATTTATACTTCTCTATCTTACTCTTCTCTGATAAATATAAGTTGTGAAGATTCCCAATTCAAGTGAAAGAGCTTGTTTTTTGTGACTGAATTATATTTATAATACGAATATACTGTGATTTATTTAACTATCTCAGTGTTTATGCATCTGGTCTTGGTCACCTTGACAATAATGTATTGGACATTCTTGCGATATTTATCTTTTTGTAGCATGCTTTTATTTCTATGGTAGATAGGAAAGAGAATAGCAGATAAAAGGGTATGTGTATATTTATTAATTAAAAGAGATCATACAAATTGCTATTCAAAGGGTTGCTGCAATTCATATTTCCACAAGTGACATGAGAGTGTGTCACACCTCAGTCACAGAGTATTTTTATTCATTTTCATTTCCGCCAGTCTAATATATGAGAAAGGAGCATTCTCCTCTCTCTCTCTCTCTCTCTCTCTCTCTCTCTCTCATTCTCGTATCTGTAACTGAAGTAATTTGGGTATCATTTTTTTTATTGCTCAGTTTTACTTGTTCATCAGTAAACATGCTTGTTTATATTCTTTATTAATTCTTCTTACAGACTGTTTTACTTACTGTTTCTTATTTTTTGTGACATAACAAAATTTATTTTGTCTTACCTATTTTCATTATTTAAAAACTATATAGACATGGTAATCTGTATTTCCGAACTATTATACACTCTTAACTCTGTTACACACTCTTTTGCTATGCATTAAAATTATACAGCTTATACTTTCTTCCCTTGGATAAATATTTCTCTAACCCTAATGTTACATTTTCTCCTAAATTTTTTAGAGGCTGTCCATGGTATGAGGCAGCAGACTAACCTTATTTAATTCCAGATAGCCACATTTCAGCACAATTCATGAAATTAATCAGCCTTTTCCTATTGAATTACCATATTTGTCTTATACCACATTCCCATATATATTGAAATCTATTTCTAAGCTCTCTCATCTTTTGTCCTTTTGTCAATTTTTATGCCACTATCTTTATGTTTGATTTGAGAAAGGAGCATTCTTTACCTTTCAATACCTGCTAAGGTACTCAACTTTTTGTTATTTAGACTTTTATTGGATAAATTAGGAAATTATTTTATATATAAGAAGATGAAGATGAGCATATACAGTTCAAAAAAATCCTATTAGATTGAAAAGGTTTTGCATTAAATTTGTTACTTTAAAACTCCATTTACGAAAAATTTTGAATGTTTATAAGAGTAGACAAAGGCAATGTTAAGAGCCGCTAATTGAAAAGCATCCTTCAGAAATATGCTAGTCATACAAAAAAAAATCCAGTGTTTTGATTTTCTGGTGACTGTTTCCCTTCTTATTCTTTCATTGACCAGGCTGGTATGGCAGAAGAAAATAAGACACAAGTAACTGAATTTGTTCTCACAGGACTTACAGATAGTCCAGAGCTCCATGTGCCCCTGTTCCTGGTGTTCCTGGTCATTTACCTCATCACCATGGTGGGCAACCTTGGACTGATTTATCTCATCTGGAAGGACCCCCATCTTCACACCCCCATGTACTTATTCCTTGGCAGTTTAGCCCTTGCAGATGCTTGTTCGTCCTCCTCTGTGACTCCCAAGATGCTTATGAATTTTCTATCTAAGAATCATATGATATCTCTCTATGACTGTATGGCCCAGTTTTATTTTTTTGGATCCAGTGCAACCACAGAATGTTTCCTCTTGGTGGTGATGGCCTATGATCGCTACGTAGCCATATGTAATCCTTTGCTTTATCCAGTGGTGATGTCCCATAAACTCTGTATTCAGTTTATAGGTGTCTCATATTTCATTGGTTTTTTACATTCAGCGATTCATGTGGGTATGTTATTTAGATTAACTTTCTGCAAGTCCAATGTAATACATTACTTCTATTGTGAAATTTTACAACTGTTCAAAATTTCTTGCACAGATCCTACACTTAATACACTTTTGGTTTTTATCTTTTCGGCTTTTATTCAAGTCTTAACATTTATGACCATCATGATCTCTTACACCTGTGTTCTCTTTGCCATCCTGAAAAAGAAGTCTGAAAAGGGCAGAAGCAAAGCCTTCTCCACTTGCAGTGCCCATCTGCTCTCTGTTTCCTTATTCTACGGCACTCTCTTCTTCATGTATGTGCGTCCTGGTTCAGGTCCTGCTAAAGATCACGACAAAATGTATTCTTTATTTTACACAATAATAATACCTTTGCTAAATCCTTTTATTTACAGCCTGAGGAACAAAGAGGTTATAGGTGCCTTGAGAATAATGAAGAAATAAATAGTTGCCATATAGTTCCCAAACTGTTTCTTCTTTACTTTCTGCTGATAAAGAAAACCCCAAATCCCATGGATTAGTCATAGCTTTGACATTTTTCCCAGAAGGCTCATGGTCAGAGTGGTCTCTGAGATCTTGGCAAAGAATCCAGCTTCCTGTTAGGGTTATCTGGATATGGGTCTGGTGTAAATTTGGTAACATCATCCAAATTTGGTAACATCATCTAAGTCATTTGGAAACACTGTGCAGAGCATTTTGCTTTTGCAAATTCGTTATTTTTCCAGGAACTTCCAAAATTCTAGGTAGTAATTGATAATTTTACTGAGAAATAGCTATAACTGAGGCTAGACATTCATTTAGGACTAGACATTCATTTTATGAATGAGTACAACCTACCACTGTGGAGTTACAAGTCAATAAGGCATTGTAGAGCTCTGTGATACCAGTAACTTTGGCAGATTGATGAAAATAAAATTCTGCTTCTTGTCAGAATATATTCCTGAGAAGAAATGTATTGTTTAATGACAAAAAATAGTCATAGAAAGTGAAATGTCCTAAAAAATGGTCAGTCTTTAGAAAAAAAATGGAAGCTGGCATGAATTAAAGAAGGAACATCAAAATTAGCAGCTCATATTTCTAATTGCGCATACTATTTTTATCAAGGATAGTGCATGTAGATTGAAATTCAGTAATTTATACATTTAGGAATATTTGAGTGTAATAAAAAGCAATTTCAGAGTTCATCCTTTTGCTTGCTTTACTATGCCTATCAATGTTAGTAGGAGCTGTGTGGGCAGAGGCAGAGAGCCTGGATCAGAGACAAAAACCTGTTTTAGTATATAAAGATATGGGTGAAATTTTGTGGCAATGAATTCACTACCACTAATTAATTTCCCATTCATGGATGTGATCATTTAACATATATTCAAATATTTTAGTATTTTATTTTATATAATTCTTACATCATTTTTCATTTTTGCACAATGTATGCATTTTCATTTAGGTTATATTCCTCATACAATTGCACCTCCCTTTATTTTGACCCTAATTCCTCCTCTCCCCACCCCCCATAGTGTGTCTCTGGTTTATAGTTGCTTGTTGATTTTGATTTTTACTTTGTATTAATTAGTCTTTTTCCTGGTCCCTTATTTAGGTTTTCTAAATTCCTGCTATGAGTGAGACCAGGGATGGAGCTAGAAGGGATCATGCTCAGCGAAATAAGTCAGAAAGAAAAAGAAAAATACCAGATGGTCTCACTCTTATTCAAATTTATTTTAGAATTATTGTATATAGATGGATGACTAAATTCCTTTCTTAAGAAAAACAATGTGTAGAGCTCTCTCCTCCCACCCCCAGCATATTCACATACGAAAACTATTATACAGAATGAGAACTAAAGTTAAGTTGTTGAAGAATGAAAACATACCTGTTTTCCAGTATTTTAAAAAATACTTTGGTCAAGTGAATAGGTCCAACAGATATGCTAAAAGTATTATCTGCAAATTTAGGCATATAATAAATCTATTTTATAATAAATTTACTTATCATGTAAAGATATTAGAAAAAGTCAGCGTGTTTGTTTGAAAGATTAATTCCAATTGGCCAACAATAATAAATTCTCTTTAAAAATATCCTACATGACCAAATTTATTTGTATCTTATTTATTTGCTTTTGAAAACTATCCTATACATGTAAGTGATTTTCAATCATTTCAGAGTCTTTGCAAATCATTTTGCAAATACTGTGAACTAAATCTGTTTTGTTAATATTTTAATTTTTTTTTTGAGTTAAACCCTTTATCGATAATTCACAACTGGTCTTTTTAAAGTAATCCCTTAGGTAGTTCTTGTTATTTATGTAAATGCAAATTCATTTTTTTTTTTAATTTTATATATTTTTTACATCATTTTTCATTTTTTGCACAATGTATGCATGTTCATCTTGGTTATAGTCCCCATAAAATTCCCACCCCCCCCTTGTTTTGTTCCTACTCCCTCTCTGCCCCCCATAGTGTGTCTCTGGTTTATAGTTGCTTGTTGATTTTGATTTTTACTTTATTATAATTAGTCTTAATACATGTGGTACAACATAGTTTATTTGGAGTATATTCAAAGATGTGTTATGATTTTTACTAACTTTTATAGTTGCACAGGGATTATAAAATTATATAGGATTATTTTCAGTAAATCCAGGCTATTATCTATCACATTAAAAAAAAAGTCTTAAGAATTGAACTCTAGGGCCTCCCTGGTGGCGCAGGCGGTGGAGTGCAGCGCTGTGAAGCTGTCCACAGCCTCGCAGTGCCAGTTCGCAATCCACATGGCCAGCAGACCTCTCCTGTCTCACCCGCTGCTCCCCTCAGCAGTGTATTACCTCAGTCTGCCTGTGCTGTTACCCACTCTGTCTCTGGTGAATCCTCTCAACCTCCCGCGCAATCTGGCCTGAAACCGGGTTCTTGTATAAATAAAATAAATCTTTTTTTAAAAAAGTAAATTAAAATTAAAAAAAAGAATTGAACTGTAGTCTTTTTCTGAAGTTTGAGGGTGTCTGGAGGAATTAACATTTAGACAATCTTGCGAAGTCAACACAAGATATATAATAACTTAGGATAAATTAGATTCTTGTTGGAATTAGTATAAACTGACTGTCAATCCAAAATGTTATAAAGCATGTTGTATGTCAAGGGTTTTTATTGTATAGACTATATTTTATGGGAAACAGCTGCACTTAAAAAAAGGTCTTGAAGTGAACTTCTGTCTGGGTGCTATGTGATAAGCAAGTTACTTAACCTGTGATATCCTAGACCCTATAACTTCTCTGTGCTCAGTGATCAGTACTTACTTCAGTCTGAATTCAGTAACTGAGACTCTGGAGGCTGCACCTGGGTATCCAAGGCCTCTGTAATGCTGCTGCTATGCCAGCTGCTGCTTTACCTGTTTAGTATTCTTGCTTAAAATTTACCGAACTCAGATAATAAACTTGGGTAAATAGGCACAGGATAAGCCTACTGCACTTTCTGATTGATTGTCTTTATACACTTGAAATCTACTATAATGACCTTAAAAAATAGCCCTCATGCAGAAGGATGGGTAGGGAGGATCTTTTGAGACTTTGGTGGTTTCACAGGTGCATGTTAATCTTTGGTTTCAGATAGTGAATTTTTTAAGGCAAATTATGGCGGGAAAATTTTATCAATGGAATTTAAATTATATAGCTTTAAACATCTGGAATTTAGCAAAATGGGTTAATGAACAAAGGAAGATGGAAAGTGACTAGAAACATCGCTTGTTACTAATAACAGAGAAAACATTAATAAGCAAAAAAAATATGGATATTCTATCAGGGGAACACAAAGAAATAAACTCACTTAGAAGAAATGTGGAAAATTTATAAACTAGAAGATGAGTCAAGATATTTTGTGCAGGGCCTCCCTGGGGGCGCAGCGATTGAGCGCTGGGTTGCGAAGCTGCCTGCGGACTCTGCGGCGCCTGTTCGATCCCCGGCTGCTCCCGGGCCACCAGAGGAGGGTCCCACATGGCGCGCAGACCTCTCCTGCCGCCCGCTGCTGCCCTCAGCAGTGTACTTCGGTCCTTCTGCCTGCTCTGCTCCCCGCTCTGGCTCTGGTGAATTCTCTCACCCTCCCACACTTCTGACTGTACCCAGTGCATGTATAAACAAACAAACAAACAAATAAATAAATAAAACATGCCTCTATTAAAAAAAAAACATATTTTGTGCAGACCTTTCTGATAATACCTAATCAACACCATACTCACTATCTAAGAGGTAGGAAGGCAAGGCCAGGTAACCATATAAATGAGAGGATACTGTTAAATAATAGTGAAAAAATAGACACACTAAAACTATAACACACACTAGGATCTGTAATATCCTTTCCCACATCATTCACAATTACTTGAAACTTTTATAGATGTTGAGAACAAGCATTCAACTGACGTGTAATTTTTCCAAAGATAAATTTACATTTTCCTATGGTCACTCCATTCCCCTCAGTATTACATGAATTAGGGAGTTTAAGAAAATTTTCCCAAAGAATCTTTTTAATTTAGTTCCTTAAGTGAACCAATGAATCCTTTATTTCAGCATCAACATAGAAATCATCATACCAAGCTTCTTTTCTGATCATAGAGGTATAGAACTAGAAATCAGTCAAAAGAGGAAATTGTGGAAACCATAAATAAGTGGTAACTAAACAACAATATAATAACTATTGGGCCAGTGAAGAGATCATATGAGAATTCAAAAAATATCTGAAGTGAAATGAAAATAAATTCATGACTTCTCAGAATTTAAGGGATGCTACAAAAAAGGTTTTAAGAAGTAAGTTTATTAGCAATACTTGCCTACCATAAAAAAAAATCCCAAGTAAAAATGAAATTTACAACTGAAGAAAAATGAAAGCAAAAAATCATTAGAAAGAAACAATAAATATTAGAGGAGAAATAAATAAAACAGGTATCAAAAACTTAATTCCAAAGATCAAGGAAACCAAGAGATAATTCTTTAAAATGATAAGCAAAATAGACAACAAATAAATAAATAAATAAATAAATAGATAGATAGATAAATAAATAAATAAATAAGACCTCCCTGGTGGCACAGGGGTTAAAGTCAGTGCTATCAGGCTATCACCAGCCATTGCAGCATGAGTTCCATCCCTGGCCAGGGAGCTAACCCACATGGTGCCACAGACCTCTCCTGTCTCTCCCACTGCTCCTCTTAGCAGTGTATTTCAGTAAATCCACCTGTTCTGTTACCCACTTTGTCTCTGGTGAATCCTTTCACTTCCCATACCGCTGGCTTACACCCCAGTTCTTGTATGCATACATAAAAATAAATCTTTAAAAAAAAATATTTGCCATACTCACAAAGAAGATAGTGGTGAACTAAATGTACTATAAACAAATAATGACTTGTAATGATGCACATATGAAACATATATAATGCTATAATGCATTGTTACCTTAATAAAAAAAAATTT